GTGGGGTGGGGGGGTCGCGGCGGCGGCTGCAGTTAATGTCAAGGGGGCGACCTAAAAGTGCTGCAACACCTTCGATCCGGCGCTCAGTAGAACGCTCAGAAGAAGAAGAAGTGAAGTGCACCGGGCACTGGGCGTTTAGGCCCTTTCGCCCACACACTTCGTGGGCATCAACTGATGTTATCACTACACTGTCTAACCGGGAGGTCTTAGGTTCGAGCCCCGACGGTGGTAGGAGTTTCGACGTTAGATAGCTAGATCGTATTCAGCCTCTGTCTGGGGGAGAATTCTAGCGAGCAGCTGCTCTGATAGGTAGTTTTCCGTGGTTTCTCCGATCAACACCAGGCGAAGCGGTACCCTCTCAAACGGGTGCGATCTTATTGTCCTTGTATCCTTACCCTTCACTTACACTCTCACATACACTACACTACCACCTAATTCAAAGATTGTCTCGGCTTTGGCGGTAACCCGTTGGTAGGAGATACCTGGCTGTGCTCACGCTTTTACGATTTTCGCTCTCATTAGTGAGTTACTTTCTGTTCCTTACCAAGAACATATACAGCCTTCCAGATTACCACTCCCGGAGTCTTTTTCTGTTAGATGTATATTTAGCCAAAATGGGAGAATTTTTTTTTTGGGGGGGGGATAATAATTTTGTTTTGGTTTCGAAGTCTCGTACATGGCAGATCAGAACGTTTGCTATTCCTGTTAAGCACGCTCTCTATAATTCTAAGAGTATCAAGAAGTGCATTGCTAAAAAAAATTGATTCGTGGAGAAGACTGTTTCATGACGGACGGATGTAGTTTTTTTTCAGATTTGTGAATATATGGTAAGCTGTGCCAAAAATATATTCTACAATATAAAACACTGCACCTCATGAAAAATGTGGTAAAAATGCGAAAAACAATTCAACCCTTTCTTCAGCAAGTGTAGTCACAAGATGAAGACAAGAAAAACGGACTTCTCCATGCACTGCTTGTCGCGAACTTTCCTATTTTAAAACTTGAAAATCCAAAAACAATCTTGAAATACACCTTGAAGTATAACCATTTCTTGACAAATTTATTTTTTTTATATACAGACTTTTTGAAAATTGTGTCGCCTCGTAGGACATATTATCTCCGTAATACGTTTCTGCATTTTTAACAACACGATGTTTGACAGAAATTGCTATTAATAATGAAACTGCATTTCCAGAAGCAGCCCCTGACATTTCCAATTCTTTTATGTAGATGACTCATTGCATGGAGCAAAATCGGAACCTAAGGCAATTCAATTATTTAAACAAATACCAGATCTGCTTTTAGAAGCAATGTTCACTCTATGATAACTACTTTGCTAGGAGGACCGCCCGGGTTTCGGCACCATTGTTGAGGCTGTGAAATTTTGCTTAGATGAATTGGGAAAGCGTTAGCAGAAACTGCAATGAACACCGCCTTCTATGTTCTCATCAGACGGGAGAGTTCTGGAAGAGAAACGAACTACAACTGACTAAGATTACTTTGCCGAAAGAACCAATGAGTTTTGAAGGGATTGTCATGGTTACTTCCGTCTGGACGAGAATAACGGTTTCATTACAAATTTCACGCTTGGAGTCTATTGACGCCGCGTATTTTGGCGTATGAAGTCTCGTAGGCTGCAGAAATGTGCTGGGAATTGATTGGCAGCATGCTGAATCAAACTTTCAATGCGCCCAATACATGTTTCACTTAGCTTCTGCGCACAATCGCTACGAAACTGCTAGCGACTCCTCTGATTTTCTTAACAATGCGAGATCGTCGCGTCCGATTTGGAAAAAATTGAATTCCGAGAAATATAACAATGGATAAATTTTTCGTCGCTGGTGCTTAGGAGTTGGTGCGATCTTTTGGTGACTCTCCAAACTAACAAAAGCAGTTTACATTCGATGTCAAAAACTTTGTACAAAAAATTAGCATTTGGTCAATTGCGAAGGAAATCGAACGCGGCGTTTTTGCGCAAATCTCCGCGGCGGGAAGTTTGAAACGTATGCTTCTTTCATGTAAAATGCCTTCATAGAGCAGCGAAACTACGCTGTTCGAAGCGTGGCGCCAAATTTGAATTACTTTGGTAGTCCATGGGACAACAATCTTTAATGTACGTATTATGTCTAAATTTGAATACTGAAGAGATTTTTAGCCTAATTATCAACTATATTGCCTATTTGTTTTAAGTGCATATTTGTCTGCCTATTTTCGACTTTTTTTTAAAGCCTTTCTGTCCCAACTATACTAATGAACAACGTACTTCTCGAGTAAGGATCCCGGGTTCAATTCCCGGTTGAGGCAAAAACAGAGTTGTAGCTTTTATTTAAAAACTGTCGTGGTGACGAAGAAAAGATCAGAGAGGCGGAGTTCGCTAAATGAGTGCGTCATGTTCAACACATGACACTCTTACCACCCAAGCGTGGTAATGAAAGTGGGCCCAGGCATGAGGGACAGCGTTTGCTATCCGGCAAAATCAGATAATCGAACCAACATACCGACTACCACACCACACATCCATGCATCCACACCACACATCCATGCATCCACACCACACATCCATGCATCCACA